GGGGGGAGCCGCGGCCGGGGGAGGCGAGCGGCGGCGGGGAGAGGGAGTCCGCTGGAGGCAAAGGCACCCCGGCTGGAAGGGTTGTGAGGGGAAGAGGAAATTGAACGTAGCCGAATTCTGGTGGTTTTGTTAAAATAGTGAAGTACGGAAGGCGCACCTTAGGCAGAAAAGATAGAGAGATGGAGCCTACTGTTTTGGATGCCGGCTTGAATTTTTTATTCACTTTTCGGTTTTAACCACTGCTAAACGTGGATTTTGTGAGAGAACCCGATGGCGGTTGTGCCATTGTTCCTTGTTGAAGCGTAAATCTTAGTTTTGCTGCTTGTGGAAATTTTTTTTTTTGTTATTTTTTTGAAAGGATCTTTCCGGGTAGTTTTCCGTCTGACAAAATGAAGCCTTTGTATTTTTCAATCAATCACACCTAATATTGACAATCTGTTTGGTACAAGGGACTAAAGTGCTGCCTCACTCAGAGGACCATTAGAGACTTTTTCTTTCGCTACATGTAGCTGAATGCGTTACAACACATCCTTTCTCCCCCCCGCAATCTTCCGAAAGATTTTTCCAAAATGAAGAAATTTAATTTTCGCAAAGTTTTGGATGGTTTAACTGCCTCATCCCCCAGTGGAAGCAGTGGCGGTGGCAGTGGTGGTGGAAGTGGGGCTGGTGGTGGCTCCGTGCACCCAGGAGGGACTGCGGGAGCTGCGGGGACTCCCAGAGATGAGATCCAGGAGACGCTCACTTCAGATTATTTTCAAATTTGTAAGGTAAGGGCTGTAAATTTTTTCACTATGGAAATAATAAAAGCTACGTTGTGTGTGGGGCCAGTAATATGATACCAATAAGCCTTTTACTTGAGAACTGCAGTGGTTGTATAAGGACTTTGGAATGAAAAGACAGAGGTCTTGTTGATGCTTTTTTCTTCCTGCTGCAGAGTTGGAGTGGTCAGTAAATTCATAAAAATCTCGATTTCAGCATTCAGGGCCAAATCCTAAGTTCACGCTTGGACCCCAAACTACTGACAAGGTTGTGGGCAGGAAAGCAAATCAATTGGTGCTAGTACAGATTACATTTACAAGTCAGTAGAAATTAAAAATTGTATACATCAGCCTCCCCTCCTCACTCTTCGCATCCTCTCTTCCTTTCCTTCCCTTTTTTAAGAAAAAGGCACAAGCTAAAAATAAAAGACAGTGCAGCGATTACTGAACCTAACACTTCAGTTATTTGTGAGGGATTGGATGTAGATTCAGGGTGGTTTTTTTTAGCATTAGTACTGCAGATTATGATTACATGACAATAAACTTAGTGGGACAGCATAAATACCAAAAGTTGCCAGATTTGTTTGGCAAATTGTTTTTTATGCATTGGTTAGGTCCTTTGGGAGTTTTCTTTGAGTAGAAAGCGTAAGATATCCCTGTCTGTTTTATGTTTTGTATCTGTTTTCTGCAACAGAGCTTTCAGTGGTGTTCTTAAATGCACAAGTAAAATCAGTACAAACTATTTGGTACTTCTGACCAACCCTGGAATACAAAAATCATACGTTTGTAATGAAGACCAAAACCCAAAGGAGATTATATTATGATCCTCTGCTGTTATCTTTAACTTTGACATTAATTCTGTTGGCTTTACTAGAAGTTTTGGTTGCTTATTTGTTTTGCTTAGAAGCTTCAAAACCAGAATTTTAATTAGTGCAATTTACATTATTAGGAGTAAATGAACTTCACTTATTAAGTATACTTTCCTTTTATTAACCAGATACCAATTGATTTGAAATATAGGTTATGGCCAGCTCCAGCACATTCTCATTTTTTTTGTGTTTTGGGAAGAAGGAAGAAATATAAACAACCGAGACAAGCCTGTAAGACAGTTTGTGTGCAGGTCTGGTCCTTGTGAAACACACAGCTTTCCTGATCTCAGATATCATGATTCTAATTCTGTTTGCTTTTCAGCTGCAGCTAGTATCAAAACTCTTACAGAGTTCAGGGGAAGAAGGTACGAGCCCCCGTGACTTAGAGTCAGAGACCTTTGGAATAGGTTCTACATAATTCTAATTTCTGGAGGTTTTATAGTTCTTTGCCATCCTGAACCAAAACAGGTTCAGACCTTTTGAGTGAAATTATTCTGTAGTTTAATAGTGTGTCAGTGATCAGCGCATTAGAATCATACCTGTTTCCCAGGGTTGAATTTGACTCCTTTTGCTTATGCACGCAGTAATTTAGCATTTTGTGAAACTCCAGGTATTCAGTACAGCAATTTCCCATTTTTGTCACTTCAGTAAAAAGATAATGCAAATAATCAGGATACATTAAAATATCATTAGAAGGGCTGACGTTCTGAGACTTCTAAGTAAGGCTAAAACTCAACATGGTTCTTCATGTTTAAGTCATTTGATAGGGCCAAAGATCTGTATTTAGGATGATATATTTTTATTTTGTATGGTATATTTGCAAAAATAGGCAACATAAGATGAAAAGAAATTAATTTTCTGCCAACTCTCTGTTATTTCCCTTCTTTGGCTTGATATTACTTGAAGACAGTTGGTGTTATGTTCTGATAGATCTGCTTGGATATAGATCTACTTGCTGTATGGGAATATGTCATTTTGAGAAGATTTCAGTAGGCAATATTTTCCTGTCTTAGCTCTCAGGTTAAAATGTTCTCAACAAAGTAAATATTTGTATAGGAAGGCTTTTGGTTGCTTGCAGCAGTACTTGCTTATGAATGCACGGTACTGCAGAAGTCTATAGTATAAAAAATACCAGCTTCCTTTTTTCAAGATACAAAAGTATGCTAAAAGCAAACTTCTAAAATACTCAGTGATGATGTGCTCATAAAATACTGCAATTTTATTCAACAGGCTCTACTTAATCAGCTATATTACAGTTCAGTAACGTTACAAGCATGTTGGAGTGAACCAACAAAACCCCACAGGCCCCAGTCCTGCGTTATGTACTATGCAAGTGTACCGAAGGCAGTGGGACTTGACGCAGGAGCAGCTTTCATCCTGCGTGCTTCAGGGTGCAGGATCTGAGCCATAATTTGTACCTCAATCAGTTGGAAGTAAATTAAAAACACAGCAAGACTATAATCCAAGCTTTGTCTTCCCCCAGCTTTTGTTGTGTAGAGCTTCTGGTATTTCAGTTGTGTAGTTTCATGTTAAGTTACGTAAGTTATATAGGCTGCATATTTAAGGATCCGTGATCTGTGATCCTGCTGCACACAGAACTGAGTAAACCTAATGGCAGTTCTGGTTTGTTATGATCTGCAGGATCAAGACAGATGAGCTCACAGTCTAAGTAGCACCCCAAACTGGTTTTCCTTTCTTTGCTGATTATAAAAATCTTCAGTTAGATATGAAACATAAAAGCTGACTCATACTTAAGAATTAAAGGGCCTTACCCTGCAGTTTTTATTTAAATAAATTGCCTTTCTGAAGTTTGTGGGAGGTCTGCTTGACTAAAAATGCAGATCCAATCCTCTACCAGAACACTGCTTTTATTGGTAACACACCTGATTTCATTAGTAACACACCTGAAAGCTCTCTCTCCATTTTGTGACATTTTTAGGATGCTTATTACCACATTGTCTTTTCGAGGTATAGATTAGAACTTAATAAAAGTAAGTCGAATATTTCATTTTACACTGAGATGTTCACAATGAGTTACTTTTGGCATTTATGTTTAAATCATTGATGTAATCTTCCGTATTGAAAGACTAAAAATGATATATTCTTGAAACTGTTACTTATGAAATATCTATGGCCTTGTTTAAGCATGATAAATTTATATGTTGGTAGCTGTATTAATGAATCAGTGGCATCCTTTTGAAAGTATTCAAGTAATGTGAAGTTTAGTCAGAACCGTATTTTGTGACAGAGGAAGCTGAGATATAGTTTATCTTATATCTAGGGCTGCTCTTGGGATTCGGATATCCAAGTGGAAATCATGAAAATACCGATTATAGTTCATGAATTGAATTGAATGTGTGAGATAGCAGCACCATGCCAAAAACTAGGCACGATCCAGTAGAATATGTTAATAAAGTCTAGATTAATTTTAATGGGGATAGACCTAGTTTCCTCGGTTTTCTTCCTTCATATTTCCCCTCTGTATATACGGTTTATTTCTGGCAAGGACTTTTTGGGCTCACCTGTGTTTGTCCATAGCATACAGAAACTAAAATACAGCACTGGGGAGTGCTGTTAATATAGTCCTATTAATATAGGAAGTGAGAAGATCACAGTTAAGATGTTGTAAATCATTTGAGTAGAACTTTGAGGAGAAAGAACATAAAAGGAGGAAACAGGGATTTTATTACTTCTGCAGAAATAATTTTTGATTGTTAGGGGATGACGCAGTTAGGAAAAACTGAATGAAAATGAAGATGTACGTTTTTGAACATAGAGTGGATCTTCTTCATGAAAATAGGTCTCCCATAGAGAACGACTTGAGCTTTTCTTGAAGAACAATCATAGGCTTGAATTTGTAGAGCACGATGTTAATAACTTCATGCAGAAAATGTTTGAAATGAAGACCACAGTTAAGAGCATAGTAACAGTTGCACTTTACTCGATGTACGGTTAATGTAGTTCAGTATGTTTCCTTTAGCTGTAGGCAGCAACCGGATACCCTAGGAAAGGTTCCAGAACTGCCGAATTAATCATCTTCTCACAGAATTATCCCCCAAATGCTGATGGTTATGGACTGGCTTTAAACCCCAAAGCATGAGATTTGTATTCTCTCCAAAACTGGTCTTCAGTGTTATTACTGCATAGTCTTGCTATCTAATAAACATCCCTTTGAATCTTGCTGTATTATTCATATTGATAGTATAGTCATAGTTTCAGTATGCACGTTACCCAGTCTTTATACAAAACCCGTGGAGGCCAAAATAATTTTAGGTTTTTGTTGATGCTGGTATGGAAGCCCATGGCTGATTACAATTGTGCCTTCCTAACCCTACTTATCTCTGACGAAACCAGGCCTTCAAGATGCATCCAATCAGTAGCCAATTTAAATACCTTAATTATCTGGATTTCCTGAATTTTAATTCCCAGAGTTTATAGATAGTAATACTTTATTTTGTTAACCTATGAAGAACATTTAGTCCCTCTGACAGCAGTCAAATAGGTACTTTAACTGCAAATGCAACATGAAGCTACAGTTCAATGATAACAGAGAGAAGACGAATTTTGGAATGGCAGTTTAAGAACAATTCTGCAGTATCACATAGTTCTATTTTTGGTTTTGAAGAATAAAAAAAAAAAAATCTTTGTTATAAGCTATCCATAGTGCTTTAGTTAGCTTGAGCTGTTTGGTTAATCTGTGTTGTTTCCTTAGTAAGGTCGTTCAGGGGAGGGGAAAAAAGAAAGTGTGTGAAGTGCTACATTTCAGAGAAAACTCATTTTAAAATAAGTGTTAACCCTTACTTGTAAGTGCTCCGAGTTCATTTGGGACTTAAATGGCAAATAAGATAATGTTGGGAAGGATTTTTCCTATATACCAGAGTTTGGATATAATGTTAGGTGCAAAACCCTATTCTGTTTAAAACTACAGAGTCATAAATGGCACTTCTGTAATTAGATGATGGTACTTTTATGAAATGCGTGATGAGCATAATGTATTTTTCTTTTTTAAATGTTTGTTTTAATTAGAAATAGGACTCATCAGTGGTAAAGAGTATATCATGTTAAAAGCTTCCTTTTTAATAAGTTTGAAGATTTTTAAGCTACCTATAGTAGTGTAGCTGAACACTCTTGCTTTGGTTT